GTCCTGAGTGTGCATTGCTTGTTTGGCTTGTTTTTTCTTTCCCTCCTGGACACCAGCAGATTGCTCTCTTTTCTCCAATATGTCCTTTCAAAATACTTTGAAAAGATGTCACAGTCCCCTGTGTGTGGTCCAGCATGGTGTAGCTGAGAGCAGCCGGCATTGGGGTTGTCACAGATGAGGCACAGCAGCCTCCTGACCTCTCCCTGCCCCAGGTGCTTTAGTTACCTCCCCATGTCCTTTCACTGAGAAACTCTTTTTAAAGCAGGAAATGTGTGCCTTTTGTGAGCCACTGATAATGACACAGCACTGAGAGCTCCCTATTGGCTGCGGGATCCTTGTCCCTGTGGTGTGAACCGCGCACAGGGAAGGGTCTGGGAGTGTGGGAGGTGGAAGGCAGGTGAGGAGGAAGCTTCTGAGGGGGGCCTCCAGACACAGCCCCTCCTGACAGGCATTCTCGCGGCCCTGGACACCACGCAGCAGCCCGCAGGTGTGTGCCAACCTGCTTTGAGGAACACTGACTTAAGGCACTAACAATAATTCTGCAAAAACGTCTATCCACTGTGGATTTCCCTACAAGAGAAAATGTAACTGAGTGGGACTTAAAGTTTGCATTGTCACTGGAATAAAAACAAATGGAAATTAAACCACCCTCCTATCACCAGTAAACCGCAGGAAGATGCCCTCAGACGCCTGTAGGTGTGAGGTGAACAGTTTGAGAATGGAACGGAGTCAGACTACTGAGAGTGGGAAGACCAAGGTAGGGGTGGGAGGGAGCTTGACCTCCTCTCCCTCCCTGGGACATGTTGGGTCTTTGAGTCAGGTGCACCATCTGTAAGGGGGGGGACCCACCAGTCGGAGTCCTGGATTGGAGTTGGTGCCCAGAGCGTGCTTTGCGATGTCAGCAGAGGCTCTTCTGTTTCAGAATCGAGCGGGTGATGGGCAACAACAGCACGGTGAAGATGGTGCCCATCAAGATCGTGCACTTGGAGAGCCAGCCCGAGAAGGAGAGCCGCCAGAGTCTGGCATGCCCAGCCCAGCCGCCCGCCCTGCCCAGCGGCCTGGAGAGACACCAGATCAAGACGCTGAGCACACCGGAGCAGTCCTACTCCCGCTTCTGCGTGTGTGAGCCCAAGCCTCCCAGCACCCCTGTGCCCCTTCCCGGTCTAGGCTACGTGAGGGCCAAAGCGAAGACCGTGGAAGAGCTGAAGTCAGAGGCACTGGCCAGGGAGATCGTGGGGAAGGATAAGTCCTTGGCCGATATCCTGGACCCCAGTGCAAAGATTAAAACCACCATGGACTTGATGGAAGGGATCTTCCCCAAGGATGAGCACCTCCTGGAAGAAGCCCAGCAGCGGAGGAAGCTGCTCCCCAAGGACCCCTCCCCGAGGACCGCAGAGGAGAAGTGAGTAGATGCTCCTTTCCAGTTTGTGCATGATTCTGCTGGCATCTTAAGGCTTAAAAGGGAGAGGGGTGCGTATCTGTTTCTCTGTTCTCATGACTGCTCTTTGGGGGGGCAGATTTTTATGAGTGTTCCCTGATGCTTAGAACTTTTTAGCTTTTTTTGTGAGCCTACTGAAAGTAAAGCTAAGGGTCAGACGCCTTGTCCCTGGGGATGAAGACTTCGGTGGGTGGCAAAGGCGTGGAAACACATGTGCTTTGCAGCCCACTGAGCTTTGCTGGCTGGAGGCCCGTGTGATTTATCATGATGCCCACAGCTCTCCTTTCTCGTAAGGCAACAGTTCTCAGTGGGGGCTGTTTTCTGCCCCAGGGGACAGTTGACAATGTCGTACTCTGTGTGTGGAGGGGAGCTCCTGGCATCCGGTGGGTGGAGCCCAGGAATGCTGCTCAGCATCCTACAGTGCACAGGACGGTCCCCACCACAGACAACTGTGGGGGGAGTGCTGACGTGAGAAACCCCAGCATAAGAGGACAGAAGGCTTAGACTGAGTATCTGTGTTTCTTAACAAGCTGGGTTTATAAAATTTATTTGCACCCGCTTGAACAAATTCGTCTTGTTAGTTTTGTAAGTACCACTGTCAGGTCTCTCTCCTTCACTCATTTGACGCAAAGGCGTGTGTGGTGGCATCTTCCCTGCTGTTTCTGCCCGCTCCGTCACCACAAGCATCAGTCATGTGCTATAGGGTGCAGTGCCCATGAAATGCGGCACAGAAGGAGAAACAGGACACACTAGAACCAGCAAGAGGGAGCGACTGTGGCTGCTGGTAGGAGGGTGCTTGGGAGTGGCTTTTGCAGATTGTGCCATACATGGCCTCAGGCACACAGACCCCAGACTCTAGGAGGGGACAGTCTGTGTTTTCATCTCCCCAGCAGAGATTTTTGGATGTTCCTGCTCATCCACATTTTTTGGCCTTTTGAAAACTACATTTCAGGGCCAGCCTGTGGCTCACTCGGGAGAGTGTGGTGCTGATAACACCAAGGCCACGGGTTCGGATCCTATATAGGGATGGCCGGTTTGCTCACTGGCTGAGCGTGGTCTTGATGACACCAAGCCAAGGGTTAATATCCCCCTACTGGTCATCTTTAAAAAAAAGGAAAAAAACAACTACATTTCACAGACTTTATGAGTATCCATTTGGCAAAGTTTTATTTTTTAGTTTTAACTTCGTCACCTGTTTTGTTTGTTTTTGGCTGTCTTATCTCCCTTGCTGGTGTCCTAATGGTAGTGCCAGCACTTATTTGTCACAACCCAGGAAGCAGGGCTGAGGGGGCATCTGTGTACACGGTTGCAGCTAATTGAAATTCTGACATCTTTACCCAGGAAAGAGGAGCCAAGTATGCCAGCAGCCATGTCCCTGGCCACCAACTCCACTTATTACAGCACATCAGCCCCTAAAGCTGAGCTGCTGATCAAGATGAAGGACCTACAAGAGCAGCAGGAGCCTGAAGAGTACTCAGGGAGCGACTTGGACCACGACCTGTCAGTGAAGAAGGTAGGAAAGCCAACCAAAAACCATCACGTGTTTAACTCCCAAGAACTTGCCCAGGCACTTGAGAATCTAGCAGTAGATGAAACAGAATAGAGCCCTTCTCTGAGGGAGCTTATGTTCACACAGGAGAGAGAGACAGACAACACAAAAACAAATATATATACAATACAGGATCAGCAAATCTGGCCCACTGCTTGCTTTTGTAAATAAAGTTTCATTGAAACACAGCCACATTGTTCATTTACATATGGTTTGTGGTGGCTTTCACACTACAGCGGCAGAGTTGGATAGTTGCAACAGTGCCCATATAGCCTGCAAAGTCTAAAATATGTACTATCTGGCTCTTGACAGAAAAAGTTTGCCTAACCCTTAATGTAATATGTCGAGTGGTAAGAAAATTAAAACAAGGCGAAGGCACAGAGAGGTTAAAACAAAGGCATGTGATTATTGAGAGGGCTCTGTTGAGGTGATAATTGAGCAGAGACCCAGAGTGACATGAGGAACAAGCACTGTTTTTGTCTGGCATGCTGGGAAGGGGGCTAGCCAGTGCAGAGGTCCTGGGTGGGAGCCTGGTGGCATGTTGGAAAAGTAGCAGAGGCCAGTAGCTGGAGCTGTGTGGATAGGGAGAGAGGGTTGCAGATGAGGTTGGAACAGGATTCAGGGACTGGCTGTTTAGCTCACTTGGGCGAGTATGGCACTGATAATACCAAGGTCAAGGGTTTGGATCTCCATACTGGCCTGCCACCGAAAAAAAAAAAAACAGGATTCAGGGACAAATAGCCAGCTGGCCATGGCAGTCACAGTAGGGACAGAGTTGTTCTTATCAGTGCCAAAATCATTACTACTATATTAGTTTTAACTGTCCATGGCACATTAGCAGGCCAGACCCCTGACATGTTGTTACTACCTGTTTTATACAGGCAGGACTTAACATAAAGGGACAAACGTATTGCCACCGAAAGTCAGGCTCAGAGGATAGCATGTATTATTTATTCCAGGGGACCTGAGTTTGCCTAATCATCACTACTAGGAAAAGAAAAGGAGTGAACCAGCATTTTGTGCATGTTTGCTGTGGGCCTAGCACTATGGAAAGAGCTTTCATAAAAAGTACTGGGGGGGTTTTGTTGTTGTTTTTTGGGGACAAAGACCTTTGTAAACAATTATGTTGAAAGTCTACTAGTGTCATTAGTGATTTTTAAAAAATACCACTGGTTGGGCCGGCCCGGTGGCGCACTGGATAGTGCGCCGCTTGGGAAGCACGGTGGCGCTCCCGCCCGAGGGTTCGGATCCCACATGCAGACCGGTTCCC